CATTAGCACCTCTAGTAATATATTTACTGAGAAAAATGGTGACGTGTTCAATACTTATTTTATCCACTGTATTTTGAAAACATTTTACAATGTCTATTTCAGAACTGCAGTTGCGCCCGGGGGGTGGGGTATAAGTCTTAATAAGCCGTTTAGAGAACCTTTTCATGAAATGCTAATTTTTTGAGGTAGGGATTTTTGATTTTTACTTTTTTGCTAAAATCAATATTAAAACAATAAAGGTTTGAACTACTTCAGTTGGTGTGCAATGAATCTAAAATATATGAAAGTTTAATGTTTATCAGTACATTACAGAAAATAATGAACTTCATCACAATATGCTAATTTTTTTAGAAGGACCTCTATATACTGTTGTGTGTACATGCCTTTGACTAAATATGCACTACATCGAGCTCAACTTTTGTTCAGAATCAGCTTCTTATCACTGCTAACGACGCGGCTTTCCCCATTTCACTCATTCCCGCAGCTTCACGGTGCTTTTAACAGTCGGACGCTGAGTGTCTACAGAGCTCATTAGCGATGCAAAGAGTGCAGTAAAACGAGACGAGTCATTGGATAAATCCTGGGCTTTGTCCCGCCCATTGGACGCTGAGCGTCTCTGGGGATCTATGGGGCAGGGGGCTGGGTTGGACGCTCAGATTCTGCATGATGATTGGATGATCGATCGGAGGCTGAATCCCTTTTTGATTGACAGCGAAATTAGCGAATCAGCGATCTCTTTGGTGTAAACACGCATGGGAGCAGTTTTTACTTTCGTTTCTGTTCAGAGTTGAATCGGAGACTTTATTAATCCTTTTAGCAGCATTTTCTTTGTTGAAAATGACTAGCGACAAATCGAGCTTCTAGAAATAGAAGCTTGATTTGTTGCTAGTCGTGTTTTGCAGCTGCTTGTGTTTGGAGACAGACTTCTATCACTCTTTCTGACKTCTATCACAGTTTCTGTCCAGCAGGTGCTGCTGAGCCCCTCCACCGTCACAAAGCACTCACAGGCGGACACACTTCACTCTAGCCTCGCGCCAGTAACAAGCTGCACACATGGCAGAAAGTTTGAATGTTGTGGACCGGATTTTGGAGAAGCCATTTGATAGTCTTCCTTACGAAGAAAAACTTAGAGTTAAACAGCAGGGCTGATCAGCTCCTCAGATTAATTTGGTGCAAAAGGTGGGGGAAAGTAAGATAAAAAAAACTTTTTATTGATCCCACAGTGGGGAAATAAGA